CCTGTCAGATCGCCCTCCAATAACAAGTGCCGGTCAAAAGTGGTCTTGGCCAGAAACTTGATTTTACGATCTAACCTCTCTTCCGCCTTCCTGGCCACCCCGAACCCGGCTCTGACTGGCGATGGAAGTTCCTCTCCTCTCTGCTCCCATAAGTCTCTCCACATCTCAGGAATCTCCGGGGCCCTAGCTGGTGCGCTGAGTGGCGGACCTGGGAGTGCTCCTGCTGCCTCCGATCTCTGCCTCTCCTGTTGCTGCTCCGGGAGCTCCCCCGCTGCCTCCAACCTCTGCCTCTCCTGCCATATCTCATCTATCCGTCTAGTTCTTCTCGCCCTCTTTTCTTCAGCCGTCTCTCCAGCTCGCGCCCTTTCCCTCGTGCGGAGGTTGACCCTCTTCGGGATTTCTGCTTCCATCTCCTTCTCGGGTTGGTACGGCTCCCGGCGCGGCTCTGCAGGTGCTGGCTCCTCCAGGTCTGGATGCTCCAGGGCATAAGCTGCTAGGTGCCTATCAATCAGGGTCAAGGCTTCCCTCCTTACAGCTGCCCTTTCTCTCCTCCTGCCGGCTCTCCCCTCTGGCGATGGAGCCCTCTCTGATGAAGGAAGTGGGGCCTCCTCTCTCCGCAATCTCTCCTCTGCCTGACGAGCGCTCCCTGGTGCATCCCCGAGTCTCAAACCCATTGTTGGCGCCTGTGGGGGTGTGTCCTCTCCAACCTCTATCACTTCCTTCCCTGCACGTCTCCCCATGTCGCCTAGCCTGCTCTCTTGCTGAGTACCCTGCGCCTCCTCTCGTGGCACCTCCTCTAATGGTACCTCCTCACGTGGCACCTCCTCTCGTGACACCTCCTCTTGTGGTACCTCCTCTCGTGGCGCCCCTTCTACTTGCTCTTCATGCTTCTCATCCTGAGGCGACGCTCTCCACTGAGAGATATCCAGATGCGTCTCTAACTCTCTCAACGGCTTTTCAGACACTGGCGGCTCCTCCCGTGTGTGTGTTGGTGACCTCCTCAATCCACCCTCAGTAAAATGATGGAACTCCACTGGTCCCAACCCACACTCAGGGTATGCCCCTCGCTCTTCAACCTCTGGATCCCGCCCCGGCTCCTCCTCTCTCCTAGCGAGGGTCTTCCGTCCTCCCCGAGACGGTCTCACCTCCCTGGGCTCAGGGTCCCTCGACCTCTGACTCCTCTGACGTCTCTCGACTCTGGGTGGGGGGACTCTGGCCGTCGAAAGGCCTCTCTTAGATGTGCCCTACAGTTTTCCCGGTCCCAGGCCATGTCTCAGATTTGGCTAGCCAGCGGCCTTTCCGCCTTCCTGGTCCAGAGTGGTAGCGTCCTTGCCCACTCATCTCTCGGTATACCCTGCCCCTGCATGAACCACTCAAAAGCAGGGATGAAGTCTGCTACGTTTCCGATCTCTAGACGGATCGGCCTGCCATCTAGTTCCACAGGCGAGGGTCGCAGTTCCTGCATCCTCCACTCCACCTCTGATCTCGTCGTCGCCTCTCTACAGATCCGTGCGACGGGCTCCTCGAATCTGCCGACTCCCCTCAGTCCCTCGATTGCTTGGGCCACGGTCCAGCCCATACGCCTCGCATGATCCCAAAAGTTGTCCAGGAATAGCTCGATGCCCCATCATCGTATACTGGAGTACTCTCTCGATGGCGAGGCCCATGTCGCTCATATCCTCCTGATGCTCCCAACGGTCTCCGAGGCGGCCGTGTCCCCCTCCCTCCTCTTGGCATGGCTGTCTTCGTAAAGTCAGACCTACACAACAGGCGAAGGAGACAACAGGCACACATTGGGGTAAGCAAAACAGGTGATAATCAAGCAAACTTAGACCAGGCCACACTCACACAGCATACATCCTACCTAGCCTACACACCCTGCAACTTCTATTCTAAAGGCAGTCAGGTCGTGTCTCTTACCTCTTCTCTCGCCACGAATTTCTTCAGTCGCGTTCCAAATACCCAATCCTTCCACTTTGTCCCATTTAGCTCCTCTATCCGATACGCTCCGAAGTCTCCGACCCGTACGATCCGGTAGGGACCTAACCACCTCTTATCGAGCTTCCTGGACCATTTCTTCTCCAGTGATGAATCGTAGAGAAGCACGACATCTCTAACTGCCAAGGGTACTTTCCTCACCAGCGCAGATTGATCCCATCGAGCCTTATCGTCCATACGACTTCTCACCACCTGGTCAGACGCCTCCTGGATCCTTTCTTCTATCGCTCCTATCTGCCGCGCACGAATATCGAGCAATTCTTCAAATGACAGGTTAACTTCCAGATCCTGGCGCCTCCATGTCTTAAGAAAACTCTCGATAGGGAAGGTGGCGTACCTTCCATACCACAATGTCACCGGTGCGTGCTCGGTGGATCTTTTTATATTAATGTTCTCGAGAAAGAATGTCGCCCTTAGGTATCTTTGTCATTGATTAGGCCTACCTTCGGTCCACTTAGCCAGGAGACTCGTAATGGTACTATGCCCTCTCTCTACGGGAGCATTTGCCTGGGGGTGCGCGGTCGTGGTGTAGTTGGCTGCTACACCATACCTTGATAACAATTCTTTCACCCCCTGGCAGGTAAACTCCGATCCCCTGTCCATTACGAATTCCCTGACGAAAGGGTAACGCAGGTAACATTCCTCGATGCAGCTCACTAAGACTAACCCGGTCTTGGTGCGAATAGCACGCCCGTCTACGAACTCAGACAGTTTATCGCGCGCATCGAAGATATAGTTATAGCCCTGATCCCCAAGTGGTATAAAAAGCAGATCGAGATGCACTAAGGCCCCCACCTCTCGCTCTAACCTTGGATGCAGCGGCTCTCCCTGCCTTAAATGGGATCTCTCCTGGCAGGGCACGCAGGATCGACAGAATTTCCCGACCATGTCCATCATTCCATCCCAGTAGCACAACTCACTTATCTTGGCATACGTGGCTTGTACCCCTCGTACCCTACTGCAATGCCATCGTGTAGTGCTGCTACTACGTCGATCTGACGAGTCCTACCGCAGACGACCCTCCTAAGATTCCTCACTTCTCTTCTCACAAAAAGGTGGTCGTCTCGCACTAAGTAGCGCTGCAGCATCCAATGAGCCCTATCGCTTACATCCCTTAGCCGCATTTCACATGACAGAAGAAGCCCCAGTTCTAGGTAGATCCCGTCGTACTCCTCAGCACGAAAAGCCTCCTTAATCTCTCCTTCCTCGAACTCGTCGTCCTGGCTCTCGGGCACTTCGTCCACATTTCCTGTCGAGTTCAACGAGTCTGACTGGTCGAGGCCTTCCTGCAATAACGTGTTGACGAGGAGATACATTCCTCCCATCAGGTCCTCATGCCGTTCTACCTGGCCAGGTCCTTCCTCAATCGTTCTCATGTCCTCCACCAGGCTATGCGAGCTGGTCAGCGCTAGCTCCATCATCCACTGAACATCCTTACCGCCCCAGGGATCTTCTTCCTCAAAGGGCTTAAGGACTTAGCTTATTCCTCCTTTCATACCCCTTTGGCGCTCGCCAGATAGGATAGCCTACACAGTTGGGCACTCGCGGCGACCATTTATTGATATGAAGATGAACATCTTCTTCCTGATCCAGAAATCCATCAACTGGGGGCGTATTCTCCACCGCCTCCCCTTCCTGCTTATCCCAGTTGATCCGACTCAACCCGTCCGCCCAGTTCTTACTACCATGAATCCGTTCTAATTCGAAATTGAACATCCAGATGTACGTCAGCCATCTGGCAACCGTCGGATCCGATGGAACGAAATTCCTTAGAGAGTAGGCCAGGGCGGTCGAATCCACTCTCAAGATAAACCTCCTGCCGAAGATATAGTTCCGGAAGATTCGCAGACAGTGGAGGACAGCAAGGGTCTCCCTCTTGATTTGAGAGTAGTTCCTCTCCGTTGTACAGAGAGTCCGACTCTCAAATTGCAAGGGTTTTTCCTTTCCTTCCATGTCTGTCTGAATTAGAACTCCCCCTAAGGTTGTCGGTCCCGCATCCGTTTCGACAATRAAGGGTCGCGTCTCTGTGGCGTCATAATCTTACGCTCCTTACACCAACCCTCCTTCTCGAAATTCCTCCTTCATTTTTGCCACCTTCTCTTCTTGTTCTTCACCCCATACCCATTCCTGATCCTGACGGACTAACTTCCTCAGGTGTTCAGTCTTAGCGGCAAAGTTCTTGACGAAGGCCCTCCAAAATCCACACGTACCAAGGAAGCTCCTGACATCAGTTATTGAGTGGAACGGAACTGGCCACTCAGTCATCTTGTCCGTCTTTTTCACATCCGGCCTTCGGCCCTTCTCATTGTAGACGATCCCCAAGATAGTAGCTTCCCTCATGCAGTGTCTAGATTTGACCCCGCTTGCCGTGAGGTTATGCTCTTCGAGCAGGCTCAGGACCTTTTCGAGGTCCTGGATGTGTTTCCAGACAAAGTGCCTTACCCTTGGTGAGACTTCGTCGCTCTCTTTCATCGTCGGCCCCTTCACTGCCAAATCGTCAATGTATGGCTGTGTGATATGGGGGCTGACTGACTGAATGGTCCGAATCATGGCCCGTTGGACCATTGCTACTACGTTGGTCCACCCTTATGGGGCCATGTTCATGTGGACTAATCCTCGCAGCGTGTGCTTAGCCGTCATCGACCTATCCGGCGGGTAGACTGGGAACTGATCGTATCCTGAGTAAAGGTCTATAAGCGAAATTATAGGCCTTCCAGTACAGGATTCCGACAGCACGTCTGCATTCGGCAGTCCTCCAGCATCTCGCACAGTCACTGCATTAAGTCTTTGCAAATTCTGCACCCACCGCAGCGTCCCGTTAGGCTTAATAAAGCAGAACCACGGGGAGGCATATGGTCCACTTGAATAGTCGGCGACGTGAGTATGTATCTTGCCGTCGAGGTAATCCACCACCTTCCTTTCCTCGTCAGGATTGGGATATCGCGCCCCTCTCATGTTCCAAGGCTCGTGTGGCACGGTGTGGATGCGGATCATAGGTATCTTGTCTACATCCAGCCTGCCACGCTCCTCGTCATTAAACGCGTAGGCCCGATGCTTCCTCTTCATTAATTCCATCATCAGTGTTCGCTTCTGAGGCAGCAGGAAATCAGACTCCCCTATGATCAACTCCTTCTGATTCCCTTTGTTGATACAACATGGCCCTGCCAAAACACTTTCCCTCATTCATCCAATCAACCCTCGTTCCCTTTCGTAATATGTTTCCTCGTCCTCTGTAACGAGGACGGGTACCGGGCGGCACTTCTTGTCTACCGTCTTGTACCGCCTTTGGGAACCCTGCTTGAGCCGTCCCCTAAAAAAGGCCGACTCATGGATTGTGTTTGCGCTGATGCGGGGTTCCCTCCGCTGCCTGGGAGCCGATATACCAATTCCAACCTTCCTGCCTCAGGGCATTCCAGAACTTGTTCCCTCAAGGCCTGGATGGCATCCGGATCTGCCATCTNGGAGCCGATATACCAATTCCAACCTTCCTGCCTCAGGGCATTCCAGAACTTGTTCCCTCAAGGCCTGGATGGCATCCGGATCTGCCATCTCATGCACGGCCACCAGGTCCATGGCCTTCCCAACATCTGACAGGCTGAGGGAAAATGCTTCCACCCTCTCTCCTGCTTCGGGCTCTGCCCAGAGCCTCCTGCGCTCCCCTTCCGACTCCTCGATTGTGAATGATCCTGGATTGGGCCGGTTCCTTATACTCCTTGGCCCGGTGTTCCTGCAAGTAATTATTTCATAATTCCCGTAGGCAGGATCGCATAAGAAGACGATCAACGTCCCATCATGTTTGTTGAACATCACGGTCTCTGTCCTTCTTAGGAATGACCTCCCCAAAAGGATTCCATGGTCCACGTCCGGCATTATGAAGAAGCATGCCCTGGCCTTCACCTTTCCAACCTCGACGAGCACATTCGAGGCTGTCCCGCAAAACATGGCCTTACAGCTGGCTCCATGCAGAATACCGCAGTCAGAACGGTCTATATCCAGCCCGAATCTGATCGCGTCCGCCTCCCGAATAATGTTCATCTCCGCCCCGGTGTCCACCATTGTTGCGCACTTGGAACCCTTCACTATCAAATCCACCGTACCGTAGGCTACGCACTTCCAGTTCATCTTCGTACCCGACTCTGCCCACTCTGCCTCCTTGGGCAGGATCGTGCCCAGATGGACATTGGGCACCAGGCGCCGTGATAACCTCCCTTTCAGTTCATCGCGGAGTCGCGGGGCTGACGCTAGGATTTCCTTCAGGGTCATGAGGTCATTATGCCCTTCCAACAGCCGGTCAATCACGTTCTCTACGTCAAATCCCTCTTCCAACCGGACCGCGTATTTCTTCTTTTTGGGCGGTCCGTCATGTATGACCGGTTCGGCCTCTCCCCTGGTTCCCTTTTTCCTTGCCCGCTGCTCCGCTCTCTGATCCTCTTCTCTGTGCAGCCTCTCGTCCTCTTCCTCTTCATCATCGTCGTCCTCTACTTCCACAGCCTCATTCCTTCTCCCTGGTTCGTGTTCCCTCCTTGGAGGCTCTTGGCTGGTACTGCGGAGTGAGGGGTCTCCCCCTCATTCCTGATTGTGGGCACGACCCCACCACATTTACTCCGGGTCGCCCAGGCGCTGACTCTCGGCCGGAGTCATAGAGGAATACTGTGGGGATGTTAGACCTCCATCCCTTCACTTCTTCACAGAGGCCCACCAACTTCTGTTGGTACCTCCCCATCTTATCCAGCAAGTCCTCCATCTCTTCAAATAAGACAGACGGAGGCTCCGTTCTTTCCTCCTCATCCTCGTCATCTGACTCGATGATTATGGCCTCTTCCGTCTCACTTCCTCCTCGTAGCCCTTGAGTCACCTCCTCATCGCTTCTTACTTCTTCCACCCCAATCGGTGGTTCCTCCTTTTCCTGCCATAGCCTGAACATGGCAGGGAGTGGCGGCCCAGCTGCCGCTCTTCGTTGGGCTTCAGCCCTCACTCCTCCAAGCCTTCTGTCAATGGCCTCCCCAAACTGATCGTAGATATTCTCATCCATAGTAGAGGAAATCAGTCCGCTTCTCTCGTCTTACCGTCTTATATTACAGAACCTTATAGTGTGGCCTTGCTGGTCACAATGTTGAAAGATGGTCGTCCTCCAGTCAAAGCGGGGTCTTCCATACCCCTGACTTCCCTGATCCCCCTGGCCTTGATACCCCTTGCCTTGATACCCCTGGCCTTGGTACCTCTGGCCTTGATTCCCTTGGCCTTGGTACCCATGGCCTTGACTCCCTTGGCCTTGGTACCCCAGGCCTTGACTCCCTTGGCCTTGGTACCCCTGGCCTTGGCCCCCTTGGCCCTGGTACCCCTGGCCTTGGCCATCTTGGCCTTTGTACCCCTGGCCTTGGCCATTCTATTGCCTTCCTCTTCCGTCGCCATTCCTGCCTCGCCCCTTTCCTCCACCCCTCCCTCTGCTACCTTGATTGCCATACCCCTGGTTCCCACCTCCTACAACACTGCCCTGTGCACTGGGATCAGGTGACGGTGGCGGGGCCACAGGTTGGGCCTTGGCCGCGGGGTAGATCGGTGGTGGCATACTCGTTTGCGGTCCGGCTACTGGCGGCGTGCTTCCCCATGGCACAATTGCATTGATCACCGACCAGGGCCACTGTCCATAGGAGGGTGCCCCACCTTGCGAGGGGCCCGTACTACATAATGGAGCCGCCACATTTAAAGGGTCTGCTGCCTCGGCGTGAGGCGCCTGCGCTTTTCCTGATCCCTGTCCGCCCTGCGCCAAATTACGCACTTTGCGTTGGACCTTCGTTAGGTGCTGCGGCACCGGCTCTTCCTCTTCCCAGAGCTCCTCCTGACCAGCCTCCTCTATCGCTGGCTCTTTTCATTTTACTTTGACAGCCGTCACCACCCTCCTTTGCACCACCGGCTCTGTCGCATACCCTAGTTGTGCCAATACGTCTGTAACAATCCTTGTTACTCACGGGGTCCCAGAAACGGTCGCATCTCTTTGCTTTCTCTTCTGCCTTTGCAGGCGTACCTGACGTTGTTCCACCTGGTCCAAGCACCCAACTTCCACCCCTCTGTCAATGGTGGCCCAGGTGAGCTTAGTGCTACCTTCTCCATGTCTCGTCAACTTGACGGCCTCCGATGCTGTGAGTAGCTCAGGAAGATGGAGCACTGTGCTTCCTCCGAAATCTCATGGACCTTTCGCGCCCTCTTCGTAAATTCTTGAACAAAGGCCCCTATAGTCGTAAAATCCTCTTTGTTCATCGCTTCAAGGTCCGTGGTAGTCAAGAACCCGTCTCCCAGGCAGTATTTCCTCTGCATCCCCTCCTTGAACCTCTCCCAGCTACCTTGAGCAGCATCTATGACTTTCTTCACCTCCTGATGGTAGTTGTGGAGGACATACTGAAGGATGCGTTGAAACTTTACAACATCCGGCCGCCCAGCCAAAGCTTGTTCCACCCGCTCTAGCCATTCTGAGACTCTCTCCCCACAGAAATGGAAAGTATCGACCTTTGGGATGTTGCTCGGGTTCCTTTCATGCCGGTCGATGGCCGCGATGAGGTCATCGARTGTCAGGCCCTTCTTGGGAACAACTGATGCGCCGCCAGTCTCAGGCATCTTGACAGCCTCTTCTTTTTAAGTTCCCTGGCAAAAGAAAACAAGCACATCCCCTTATTCAACATTATACCTTGACCGGTCTATTCCATCCGTCCTACCTAACCCTTAGTACTTACTTTACCCAATGTTAACACGATCGTCCCTCATACTTCCTCTACTTGGGTAGGTAAATATCCTCACCTACACTTAGTCATTCATGTATTCTTTCATTACCTTCCCATCACTCCTTTATGCCTTTTCTTATTCACTTCTCATACCCGGATGTCGTTCCACCACGGACAACGGTAGGCTTTCAGTTATCCCCGGCAACGGCGCCACCTGTCGGGCGCATCGGTCGGGCACCGCACGGGGGCAGCGCGGGACCCTCCCGGCCGCGTCACGCAGGAGTTGGTTTTTAGAACCCTTCGTTACAATATACATGGAGCTTCCACAAGCCGCTCCGGCCGGGTGCGCCAGCCATACCTCTCGCGAGCCCCTACGACAGGATAGGGCCTACGCGAGGCACGACTTACCTACACCTTACGGGAGCTGTCACCTCCCTTTGGTGGGCGTATCCATGCCGAGCTATCGATCCACAGTACGAAAGCTAATCAGTTGCAATCGCAGAGGTGGACCAGCGGAGGGCGTTTCTCGTTCGCTGTAGCATAGGGGGTACGCGCGGTAATACGCCTCTATCGGACCCGCACGCGAACCGACATCTTGGGGGGGTTGAGGTTCCAAGCGCGATTCATCATCGGTCGACTAGGACGCATCCCACACACCACGCGCATTCCACTTTACGAACAGACGTACACACAAAACAACATATATACGAAATGACACAATACCAACAACGCGACAACGCTCCTAGCCCCTCAGTAGCGAACCCATAACTTTCCAATGCGGAAATCGGATAGGCGTCGTGCGCTGAACTTAGTATAAAACCGCGTGGATGCAGGGCTATTGCATATCAACTCGCAATGCAGGCGTACACAAGCAGTCGCAACGATGGCGTACTACGTAGTGCCAATAATCAAGCGGTCCCTTGTGGATCCAAGTACCGCTTATGACACTCAAGTGTCAGACTTGAAGTGTCGTGAGGGCGTAACCCTTCACGACATTGCACGGCTGAAGGAATAGTCGTGCAGTCGCCGCTGCATCTTAGGCTCTCGACCTGAGTGTCTCGGTCGGCAAATCAAATAGGCTCTGCGCGAGGGAAAACCCCTCCCCTACAGAGCCTAGGGCTTGGGATGTCCTGGACAAGGACCTCGAATCCCAGCCCATGACCAAACGTCCGACTAAGAAAATCATCAAAAAGCAAGAATAAAAATAGAAGTAGGGACCTCCCCTAAGTTCCTTAGTCCCAGCTTCTGAGTGGGGCTTTCATATGGGGATTCTTCAACCCATGCAAACATTCATCCCAAGTGTACCCATGTAGACGTATATAAGGGTTAAGTATGTGACGATCACTTTTCACGGTCTCACTAGGATGTCTCACAATAATACGTATATGTGTGATCGCAGGCAACCAAATTCAGAATCTGACTCACAACACATACCTGCAGTCATATCAACGAACCAAATTAACAACCCACACATTATACGGAGTCAATCCCAACCACCTTCGACACTCATACCCCTCGCTTTAGCCAAACAAGCCCCAAAACCTCCTGTCCAACCAACCTTAATTAAATACTCAATACCTTTGTTAAATGGCCATTCAATAAAAGTCCGGGTGAAAACTTTAATAAAACAAACGAAGATCATCAAGGCTAAAGCCTTTTAGGTTGAGTGTGGAGCGAGAGTTGAAATTGAGTCGTAGACCGACGAATTGGCAACGGACCTGTTATCAGCGATAACAGAAAGTGATCCTCAAAAGGATCAAGCTGGATCTAGCCCTGAACTTGAAAAAAAAAACTGTAACACACGGCAGACCAATCCCCAAGCTAAGATCATAAGTGTGTGGAGAATACAACTCCATAATACATCCTCACTCAAAATCTCCCTATAAGCTGAACTTAAGTCTACTTTTAAACCAAATGCTTAAGCTAAAGGTAGATCAACTACAGAATCTCCCCTATTATGGGTGGATTGCCTGAATCGCCACCTGTCAAAATATAGTCTATCTCCTTTGAACTAAGAAAAATTTTGGTATTGTTTCCCGTAGAAAGAGTGTCTTCCCTGAGTTTATATAAGTCTAAATATGAACGCCGAAATAATCTCTAAGTCTGGAAGGTCAAAATTTTATCTAACTCTCCGAATTAGTATAAATTTGGGCAGCACTCYCTTTAGAAAAGGAGACTTCCCAGATTTWTACTAAGTCAGATAYMAAAACAGAAATAATCTGTARCTCWGGATAATCAAATTTTGTCTAACTCTCTAAATTAGTARAAATTTGGGCAGCACTTCTTTTAGAAAAGAAGACTTCCCAGATTTATACTAAGTCAGATATGAACTCCTACAACAGCTCGAGCTCAACTTTAGACTGAATTTAACTAACTCCTTTAATTTTGTAAGAAATTTCGGCAGCGCCCCCTCTAGAAAAGTGTTATTCCAAAATTTATACAAGACTAAGTTCAGATTTTGAAAGTAACTTTGACTTTCCAAAGTTCAATTTTGTCTAACTCCCTATATTAGCAAATTCTTGGGCAGCACTCCCTTTAGAAAGGGAGACTTCCCAAATTTTAACTAAGCCAGATGTATGGAAAAGACAGGTTGAACTCTGACAAGTCAAGTTGGCTAACTTCTTGGATTTGTAGAAATTTCGGCAGTGTTTCCCGTAGGAAAAGTAGCTTGCCAAGATTTATACAAAGCCAAGTATAAGAAAAAGATATCAGAAAATGCAGGAAATGACCTAAGTAAAAAAAGTTATTACAGAAAAAACAGGAATTGACACTAACTCCTATGGCTCTAGCACGTGGCGAGCAACTACAGCAACTACGTATAATAATGAAACTTAAACAAGCTAGTCATCCCATCCGGTCACATGCAAAACAAACCACCAATGTAAGTACTCTCACCACCCCAAGTTTATTTCATATAGATAGTTCATGAATCTTCAACTTCTTGAATCCTTATACCCATCTTACATAAGACATAGAGCTGGACCATTCGCCATAGAAACAATGCCCAACTTGTCTTCATGATATACACGAACAGGTTGCACAACTACTTCTTTTTTCTTTTGGGCAGATGACTAGGCCATTCGCCATGGAAACAATGCCTAGTCGCCCTGAGCTGTTTAATATCCAAAAATTTAGTATTTCTCTAACTTTGTTTTCAAAAGAAAAAGCAAATATGGGCAGGGGACTGAACCATTTACAGTAGAAACAATGTTCAGCTTGCCCAAACTATTTTCATTTATACTTTGTATTTTCCTTTTTCTCTTCTTAATGATATGGCTTAACGCTGGACCATTCACAGTAGAAACAATGCCCAGCTGGCAGTTCACATGCAAATATACATAAAATACTTTCCTTTACACTTAGTTTAAATTATGTGCGTGGTTTTCAGGCTAAACCATTCACCATGGAAACAATGCTTAGCCTTGGACCAAAAGTTCTCCCTAAAAAATAAACAAGAATTTAAACCCCTTCAATCAGRCAACCCTCAGAGTTAACTAAGGTAGCCAGGCTATTCACAGTAAAAACAATGTCTGGCTTCCGAGAAAACAATCATATGAACACAGCGACCAGGCCATTCACAATAGAAACAATGTTTGATCCTTCACAAAACAACCAAATAAACATAGCCCTGAGCCATTCACAGTAGAAACAATGCTCAAGCGTTGGTTGACTCGGTCAAACGCATGCAGTCTACCTTCCTTCCACCTTCCCCCAATTCATCCTTAGTCTGCTTTCAATCAGAACAAAGTAGAAACTTAGGCTTCACTCTCACACATTCTTTCCAGTTAGTCTGATTAGGTCTTGAAGAGAAAGCAAAAACCATAAGGACAAGCGCATGCATACAATAATCATACTGCAGGRGGATATAGGCAAACATGGGTAGTARWAGRCTATACGGATGAAGATRATTTACCTKAAGGTTYCCTGCCTCCAGAACCTCGCCTAGGTTCCAGCAGAGCTCCCGCAATCGGTGGGTGGACTCCCCACAAARTCTTGATGCGGACCTACGSGTTGCAATCCCACCTGYYGCCTTCCTCTCGTAACCACAGGACTAGACTGAGARTTAGAAAGGATAGAAATAGAAAGGTAGAGACTCTCAGATCCAAGAATGGTGCTCTCAGACTCGCTTGAGAGGGCTTGGTAATCTTGATCTGCCTGAGGGCCCCGCAATGATGGCCAATCTGCAGCAGCTTGGTCAAGCCCCAGATCAACTTGTTAAGGTCCACTCTCTGCCGAGTGTTCAAATTTCGCAGCAATAGCCCCCTTTATAACTACTCCTTCAAGCTGCAGCAGCAACTTCCCTCCGTAGTTCAAACACTCCTCTCTCCACCCCCTATCCGAACACCAGTCAACCACAACACTAAGCACTCAAAGAGAATTTTGTGCGCACAGTAGAATGGACTAGCAAGACTGCGTTTTCAGCGGATCAGCGCTTCTCAATAATCATAGCAGTCCGTAACAGCTACAGCAGCTGCGGTAGTAAAAGCACAGTTACGGCAACCTGCAGTTGGCACAGTAGTAAGACAAACCAAATATCGCAGCCGGAAAGCTCAATGAGGGGCAGCCTCCCTTGGCACACAGCATCGRTAGTGGCCAGGCGTGGCCATAACATCTACACATAGCTCGATCCAATAACCCGCCGTCCAGCTCATTCTTCAGCGTAGATCCCCGTACAATAGGYTGAATAGGGCTATGAATTATAGGCTAACTTGGACTGTGAAACACAAGCCGAGGTGGCTGTAGAACACAGGCCTGACTCGACTGTGGGATACAAGCCGAATCGTCTGTAGAACACCGGCTGAATTGGACTGTGGAATCCAGGGCAAGTTGTCTGCAGAACATCATTTGGGCTCACTCCCAATGCTRCAGTATTGGTAYTGCACTTGGCTGACCACCAAGTCTTTACCCAGGAGTTAGTCTGCCGCTGSTCTGCTCAGCAGCTAGTTGTTTTCCCAGATTGTTGAGCGAGTCTGCAGTCCCGCAACTTGCCCCTCC